TCATTGCATTAGTCATCTTTTGTTCGCACAATTACCAAAACTTCTTAAATGAATACAGAACAAGCATATTTTACACAATCCTTTCCATTCCCGGAGCATCTGCATGCAGTTTGAAGAATATGTTCAATATCCAGGCACCACAATTATGGCTAATTACAGTATGACTAGAATCTTGAAATGCGTGTAATGATTTGTCCTTGCTCTTTCTGCGATGAAAACAACAAATAGGCAATTTAGGGAATTATAAACCCAGAACCTCAAGCATCTTTGGCTAAAAAGGAGGGAGGTTAAGTATATAACTGTAAAAGCAATGCAAAGCACTGCCAAAGCATATGGTATAACCCATAAAAGCCAAGACTGAAATACCAATATTAAGGTATTTTTAATCATTTGGTATGGTTTTGGCATCTGATACTATCTAGGTAACAAAAGTCATGAAACAGACCAAATTTCAACCATGTTTTTTTTTTTTTTGAAGGACCATTGAAAACCAGTATATTTCATATCAAAGTACACTTTGTCCAAATTAAAAATGAACTCTTTAAGCATTTTCATTTCTATGTTTTTGGACATTATCAATACAGTATTTCCAAGTTAATCATTAAAATGCCTTAAAAAGAACATCGCTGACCCACAGTACTTTTTCATAAGGTTCAAAAGCCACAGAATGATATTTCCGGACACTACGATGAAGATTACACCATGGTATTCTTTGACAAAAACCATTCAGTACCATGGGATAAATCGGCATTTAACACCATCAGTGATTCATAAGTCAGCCAGATGACTTTTTATGAGGTTAAAAAAGCCACAGAATGGTAACATCACGTTTTAAACCATGGTAATGCTGTGCTTTGGGTACTACAATATAGCAAGGTATTGTCTTTAGTATGTTAAAGGACATTAGTGTATGAATCAAACAAACAATACCAAGGTATAGGCTACCACCTGATACCAATGATGGCAATACCATGGTAATTCTTTGTAGTGGTACCTTAAAGTACCATGATATCACCATCAAATACCATGGTAGCACCTGTCAATAACCCCAGTGCAGTTGTATTGGTGATGAACAGCTCTGCGCATCTCCTTCATTGTGCCTTTCGGCTTCAAATGACAGAACCCACACATCTTACCGTTGTTGGATATGTGGTTCTCCACGTCGTCGCTTCCAGCTTGTCTGAGACTGGCACTAAGTTGGATGTAGAGTCCCATACAATGTAAACTCCTCAGAATCACTCCAAACGCGCCCATCACTGCTCCCTGCAAAACACTCTCTCACATCAGGTGAAAATACACGGCTTTAAGAGATAGATCCAGGTGTGCTGAGTGTTTGCTGGTGGTTTTTGTCCCTGATGACAGCGGCAGGAGCGGCTGAGAGGAGGCTGTGTGTGTTTGCAGTCGCGCACTGATGCGATTTGAGTCTCCGCGAAGAGAAACTCCCCGGATCTAACCGATGCGGCGGAGGGAGCAGCGCGGTGAGGAGTAAGCGCGGCGGCTGTCATTGGGGAATTTCAATTAGGCGGAGTAATATTATGAAGAGATTTTTTTTATAGCGAACCTTCGCGCTTAACGGTCAAATCTCAACGGTCGTCGTGGGTTGAGGTAAAATTTCATTTTAAAACCTTTCTGAGGTAAATTTAACTTATGACTTTGAATTATATTTAAGTAATCAACAAGTATGATTGATATTGTTGACAGCAGATGATTTTTGATTGCGCACAACTGGTGCTTACTGAATACTGCCTATTTTATAAAGATATTGTGTGAAACAATATCCAATATGGAATGATAAATGTCTTATACATTAGTTTACGAAAGTGTTTTCACATTACCTCATTATATTTAGTGGTAGGCTGATTTAAGTGTAGATATTGGGACAAAATCTGTGCCTAAGGGGCTAATTAATATAAAAGATTCCGTTTAAAGAGATAATTCAACAAAAAAAATACAGTTTTGTTATTTACTAACGTAATCCTGCATGACTATTTATTCTAAGAAAAAGAAAAAGACATTTTGAAAAACGTCAATTTTTTTTCTGCAGATGAAAGAAATACATAGAGATTTGAATTGGCCTAAGGATGAGTAAATTATTGTAGTTTGAACTACGCTTTGAAAGACCATTCAAGGGTTCATTTAAATTCTGCAATTGTGAATCTGCATCTACAATCATTCCACTAATTATGCTGCACATTAAAGTCAACAAGTAGAGTTATCACATCGATTAAATGATTAATTGAAAAAAATATATATTTCCAATAATGTAAAGGCTGTTTAAACTCATAAGTACTTAATACAGATGTAATACTTACAGTATATTTAGTTGTAGCTACTACACTTTTACTCAAGTAAAAATGCACAATGATAATGTTTTGGGGGGGTTTCATTTTCTTTTTGAGAGAAAAAAAATTTACTCATGACATTAAACCCAGAGTCGCAGTAGAATGTGGCTAAAAAGGGCACTGGTTTTCATGCCTTTCACAATGCACGACATTATCTTAATAATATATAACATAAGTATATTTAACATACCCTGGATATTTTTATGATGGTAGTATAACAAAACCAAACATTGCTTTGAAGTGCCTTAAAAGTACAACTTTAAAACAATTGTATAGCCTATGAATACGGTAATCAGTATACAGTGCCATAAATTATAATTAAAACACACTGCTACCTCCACAGAGCTTTTTGTAACAATTAAAATAAGTTTGCATGTTTTTTTATAGATAAATGCTCAGGGAATGCTACTATAACTTCTCAGTGACCGACAGAATGAATAACCTCGTTTCAGCCTTTCCCTGTGACCTGCACAATACTGGGATTATAAAGTGGGTATAAAAGAATATTCCCGCCACAGGTTCGTATCAATTTAGCCGATGCGAGAAGGTGGAAATCAGCACTCACAGAGCTCAACTCAATCACTCGGAAAAAGACAATTATTCCGAGCTCTCTGGGCTGTGAAATTGCTGTTGAATCACTGTTAGCGCGCCACTGTCATAATCACTGATAAGAGATGCGTGCTGGGATACCTGCCCTTCCCGTCAATTGAAAATGCAAATAACTATCCTGAGTTTTATACGGGTGATTTCAGAGGGAGGGTGGAAGCAGATGTTGCTCTGCGTGAGCCGCTGTGGCCTCCGCCACGACATGGCAAACCGGAGACGAGAGTGATTGGCATTCGCTACCGATAAGCATCGCTACGGTAATGAGCGTGTCCTTGAAGCACGCCAGGTGCTCGCCCCGTTCCGTAGTTACCGCTCATTTGCATTTCAAGTCTGACGCGTTGGCAGAGAGGCATCAATAATGTTCTAGGCACACGCAGTTCATCATAATGTGCAATTCAACAGATGGGTAACTGTCGCACATCACCTCCTCCAATTGTCGGCATTCCTCTACAGTATTTATGCCTCCCTCTCTCTGCAAACCATCTCCCTGGTAACAACAAGAACTAGCGGCAATCACTGACCTCCAGAGACGCAGCGAAATACAGAGATCTAACAATAAAGCCGTGCTACGCCAACAGAAGCACGGAAAGGACAGCCAGAGAATATTTAATATGCCAGGAGCATCAGCCGGGAGCGGGAAAGTGGAGCTCCTCTGAGGACAAGGCCGATGGATAAACAAAAGAGAACGTGCGGTGAAAGAGTCGGGGAGATAATGACTCTTGTGCACTTGTCCCGAGGCTAAAGGACAGGAAGTTATCGCTCTACGACAACGGGGCTCTGGGCCTCTCTAGGTGCATACGAGCATTTCGGAACTGGTCTACGGTGGACGATGACCACGGGCCTTGAGCTGTCGATGTCTGATAAAGTGCAAGCTGTAATGAGACTGCGGTACTTAATTAGCTGAAAAAGCACGGCTCCGCATTTCTCTACTCGTCAAATGAAGACGATTCATCAAGGCCCAGAGCCACACAGAGATGTTTTTGTTAATACAATAATAATTTCCCTACATAATGTCTGTTTTAAAGTGCTGGCCCTCCAGTGAGCATAAATCCAGCCTAATGGCCCCCCGTTCGCCCTGCCGAAGAACTCCGCTGGATTGATTCAATTTGGCTCTAGAGCTTTAACAATCATTCTCAACCTTCAGCTAAAGACTCTGTCCGTACCAAAGGAGAGCTTAGTAAGCAAACTGTCTCTATACAGCAGAACGTTCCCTGGCTGCAGCGATACATAGGCTAAGCCCACGGGAAAAGGGGAAGCAGCGATTGTAAATTAACAAGGGGATGTAAGAGAGGTTAGAGAATGAGAGAGAGTTGTGCCATTTTCGCGCTAGCTCAGCAGGCCCGCTATTAGCAAGGGATTGGGATTCTTTGGCTCATCGCCAATGGACAAACATCTAATTAATGGCCATTAGAAACACAGTAGCAGTATTCTCTAAAAGAAAGAGAAAGATCAAAGCTAGAGTACAAAACTAGCACTCAACAATTGCAAACAAAATGTCTGTATATACATACAGTATATAAATATATAGTTACATATTTTCCAACCAGGGTTCCTCAATGAAAATCTGGAAATATTGGTAAATCTAAAACCGTTTTTTTCCAAACCAGAAAAAATCATCATGGAAATCGGAGCCAACTAATACTTTGTTTTAAAATATTGCTTTTGTAGACAACAAATGTCGCAAATCATTTTGAATTCATTCATTAGCAAATTGGTCATAATTGAAACTTGAAGGGATAGAAATTCATTTTTCATCATTTACTCACCCTCAAGTCATTCCAAGTTGTTTTCTTTCTTCTGCTGAACTTGAAAAGATATTTGAAGAATGTGGGTGTACATTCCTATACTATGGAAGTCAATGGGGACCAATATGTGTTTGATTACAAACACTCTTTAAAATAACTTCTTCAGCACAACAAACAAACTCATACAAGTTTGGAACAACTTGAGGGTGAGTTATGGGTGAACTATCCGTTTTTAAAAGCTTTGTCTAGTAATCACAAACAAGGTCAAGAAAAAATTATGTAATTTTATTGGTCAAATGAGGGAACCCTGACTTTACCTTCAGATGTTTGGCTTAGCTTATTAAGAAGCCAAATATTTTACTGCCAGAACTCCATGTGTTGACATTTCCCACTGAAACTAAAATATGAGAAACAAAATCAGAGAATGGCAAACGTATAGCGCTTCCAGTGACACAACAATAGCGTCCAATATTTGACACATATTCCAGGGAGAAGCGGCTAGACAAAAAAATATGCCAAAAATGCAACAAAGTAAAATCCACCAGCCATTAGCAGGTTTAGAAAGTACATTTTGGACCCAGGATCCATATAAAGGAACCTGAATGATGAGATGACAAACACAAGGCTGAAAAGATAAAAAAAGCCACAATCAGCTGTCTGCAGGAACGCTGGAGAGGAGAAAAGAGACAAACGCAACATTTTCCTAAATTATGTTTCAGCACAAGAGTTGTTTCCTGTATAAATTGGTCTAACGAGACATTAAGTCTTGTGGAAAGTGATCTACGAAATCTAATGAAGGAAACGGCATGAAGTAAAGAAAAGCACAAACTTTAATTATAAGAAAATTTAAGTTGTTTTGACAAAATATTTGGCCTAAAAAACAATAACAGCAATAAACATGAACAAAATATGTTGGAAATCAACAGATACAATATCCAAATCCGATCTGTTGGGATCCAATCAGCCACGCAAATGTTTCAACATCAGATTTGTCTGGTCCAGTCAGGACAGGAGGAGGAGTGTTCAAAAATCCAGGTAGCATCACCGAATCATCAACCGTAACAGAGAAAAATTGCTGAGGAAAACCCACGCCGAGCTCCAACTGGATTTTTAGAAATTCTCAAGCAGTTCCAAAATCCTCTTCTGCTCACTTTCCTTAAACTCCTCGCTCTTGCCATCGCCAATATTTTCTGCGTATTCTGAAAAACGAGAGGGAAAAACAAAACAAGACGTTTAGTAATTTGGATGAATTTCATGTACGCCACCGAGCCCTGCCAAGAAACCCTTCCTAATGCCGTTTCAAAGGAGAGGCAGCATACGTTAATCCGAAAAAAATCAAAGGGAGAATTTGTATCCCTGAAAGTATTAAAAACATTTGTCACACATCCCTTGACTGCCCACCAGAGTTTATTTTCAGATCTCCTTCTTCATATATGGAGGAATGGATGAAAAAAGCTAGGAGTTCAGGGTTTGTGGTAGCGGGATTTAAGAAGTACCATCCTTAAATGAGCAAATAGCTTGAAGATCCAGGGCCGTTTGATGTGTGCCTTTGAGAGCGTGTCCCTCAGTCAGATCAATTCTGCCGCTTTGATTGAGATCCGGCTATTTCGGGACACTCCAGTTTCTCGTAACCTGCAGCGAGCTGGCACAGTGCCCGAGAACTCAAAGGGCTACAGACACTACGATAAAAGCAACATATGCTTAGAATGAGACTCTTATGACCGCTCTGGACCAATGTGATCAGACCGCTGTAAGGACACTTACAAGACTCCTCGACTTTACACAGAATGAGCTTGAGATCTTATTGATTTACCTGGAAATCTTCTCCTCCACTAAAGCTCTGAAATGGCATTAGCATCTGCATTACAACTCCAGGAAAAGCATGTGGACAGGCTTGACGTCATTGACGGCAAACAACATTGGTTCTTGGCATGTGTTGTGACCATTTGAATATGCCGGATGGAGAATTAGATTTGAGAGCTGCAGTGGAGAACAAGATCATCCTAGATCTCATTTCAGTTTCTCACACAAAAAGGAAAAGAGCGGCATAAAAATTTTTTTTTTCTATCTAATGCAAAATATAGTTTTGCAGTAGGGTTATTTTCATTAACTAAAACTGTATTACTTTAGATTAGAGAACAGATATTCACTATTAACTAAGATTTTTCTCTGAATAAACATCTAATTTGCTGCTTATTAATAGTTAGTAAGGTAGTTGTTAAGTTTATGTATGGTGTAGGATTAAGGGGTCTAAAATATGGTCATGCAGAATAAGGCATTAATATGTGCTTTATCGGTACTAATAAACCGCCAATATGATAGTAATATGCATGCTAATAAGCAACTAGTTAATAGTGAGAATTGGTCCTTAAAATAAAGTGTTGTGTTACCACTAAAACTAAAAGTATTTTTTAAAAATTGTTAACTAAAACAAAGCTGATCAACTTAAACTAAAATTACATACTGGAAATAATAAAAACTAAAACTGAAATAAAAAAATATATAGTAATATTAAACAAAGAAAAGAATAAAAATGACAAAAGCAAATAACATTACTAAAAATTAAACTAAAATCTAAAACTGAAAATGCACAAATAAAAGCTAATTTAATATATTAATAAAATAAAAAATATATATTAACAAACTTATAGTTTAGAAACAATACTAAAATAACACTAGTTTGCAACTAAATGAGGTTAAATAAAACAAAAAATTGTCATTTGTAGGTGAACAATTCCTTTAAAGATTATTTATTAAGGCGGTTTCACATTAATATTTGCTTTTATGCGTTTGGCAGATGCTTTTATTAAAAGTAATAACTGAAGGTATAGTATACATGTTCCTGCATTCCCTAGGGATTGAACCCATTGACTTTGTGTTGTTGGCGACATACTCTACAATTTGAGCTATAGAAAAACCTGCACTCTAAAAAACCCATCTTTGGGTCAAATATGGACTAACCCAATTTTGGGGATAAAAACCTAATTGAAAAATGTAACCCAACAGCTGGGTTTGTTCATTTTTGACCCAGTTTGGTTGAAACAACCCAGCATTTTCTTAAAGTGTGTCTTTAAAATAACGAGCATTGACAAAGTGTTTACAAGAAGACCAGGAATGTGCATTAAAAAGTGCATAGGGTCCGTTTTGATTTCATGCAGACTTTAACAGTGCTTTTTGGAAGTGTACACAGCAAGCGGCAAGCGTGTAAAGGTAGACATGCTCTCAGATTATTTTCTAAGCCCTGCTCAAGCCTTGGGACAGAGGATCAAACCCAATGAAAAATAAATAAATAAATCAATAAGATGGGTTTTTTTAAGAAGGAAAAAAAGCCAAGTGGCACATTGAAACACAAGCCCGAGGGCTGGAGAAAGCGGCTGAAATAACACAGAGGGAGGATTGGGGGAGTCTGCATGCTGAATGATTTGAGGGGGATTATCCATTATGAGCTCCGAGATGCTGGAAACTTCAGCCCACTGGCAGAGGCGCTTCCCACTGACACCAGTACACACAGCTCAAGGTCACGCATGTAAGAGAATGACACACTCTGTATGACTCAAATGTGGCCTTGGAGTTCGTTGAGGCTTCTGTAGGCGTTTTCATTTCCGAATTTCTGCAGTAAAACTCAGTCGCCACCGAACACAGCAAATGAAACCTGTTTTCACCAGTGATTTCTTGCTTAGCAGCTATTCTCTAACTAGGTAACAGGCATTAGGTTAAACTACAGAAAATTACCAATAAACCCTGACAACGACGTTATGAATGTTGCTTCTCTGGCTCAAATCTAACACCAAAAAGTGTTTTAAAAATAATGCAAAAAATGGTTTTAGCTAATATTCATGCAACAAAATAATGCAGTGCTTTTACTAATGAGATAATTTGTTCATTTAATCAAAAATGCAGAATGCACAACAGTTGGTTTCTGTAAGTAAATTCCAATTATTCTCTCCATTGAGAAATTTTAGCCTTCTAATAGTTAATCTTATTTAACAGACACATTCCAGATAGATAGAACAATAAAACTACAGAAGGATAATGAAGACAGAACAATAGATAGATCAAGTGGATGAGGTAGATGAAACAATATATTGATAAAACAATATAAATAGATAGATAGATAGATAGATAGATAGATAGATAGATAGATAGATAGATAGATAGATAGAAAAAATGAGAGGAGTGATGGATAGAGAACGACAGATAGAATGGCAGACAGATTGACAGAACAAGAGACAAACAGATGTTAACGACGGATAAATAGAACAACAGAGACAGACATACAGATAGAACCACAAAGACAGAATGCCAGACAGATAGATATAACTTAAGGTAAATAGAACGACAGACGCATGTGAAGATAGAATGACAGACAGAACAACAGACAGAGAGACAGAGAGACAGAATAACAGACAGATAGAGAGACAAAATGACAGAAGATAGAGACAGGATGACAGAGAATTAGAGACAGATATAGTGATAGAATGACACACAAACAGATAAAGAGACAGAATGACAGACAAATAAAGAGACAGCATCACAGAGAGAGAGATAGAATGACAAACAGATAGAGAGACAGAATAACAGACGGATAGAGAGACAGAATGAGACCGGATGACAGAGAGAATTAGAGACAGATATAGATAGAATGAGACACAGACAGATAGAAAGAAATGACAGACCAATAAAGAGACAGAATCACAGAGAGATAGAATAACAGACAGATAGAGACAGAATAACAGACAGATAAGAGAAACAGAATGACAGACAGATAGAGACAGAACGACAGACAAAGAGACAGAATCACAGAGAGAGAGAGAGATAGAATGACAGACAGATAGAGAGACAGAATAACAGACAGATAGAGACAGGATGACGGAGAGAATTAGAGACAGATATAGAGATAGAATGACACACAGACAGATAGAAAGACAGACAGACAAATAATGAGACAGAACCACAGAGAGAGAGAGATAGAATGACAGACAGATAGAGAGACAGAATAAAAGACAGAGACAGAATGACAGAGAGAATTAGACAGATATAGATAGAATGACACACAGACAGAGAGACAGAACGACAGACAATTAAAGAGACAGAATCACAGAGAGAGAGCTAGAATGACAGACAGATAGACAGAATGACAGACAAATAAAGAGACAGAATCACAGAGAGAGAGAGAGAGAATTACAGACAGATAGTGAGACAGAATGACAGACCAAAAGAGAGAAAGAATGACAGACCGAACAACAGAGAGAAAGAATGACAGACAGAACAACAGAGAGAAAGAATGACAGACAGACAGAGACAGAATGACAGACAGATAGAGAGACAGACAGACAGTGAGACAATGACAGACAAATAGAGACAAAATGACAGACAGATAGAATGCAGACAGGTAGATAAAATGACAGACAGACAGATAGAGAGACAGAATGACAGACAGGTGGACGGACAGATACACAGACAGACAGAACGGTACACAGATAGACAGAACGACAGACAGACAGACTGAGAGTTTAATGAACACTTTTTAGGCGTCCGTCCAACACTTTAGGGAACGACTCAAAACAATTCAGTGTTTTCCTACGGTGCACTGAAACATTTCCATCAGCCAAACAAGTAAACAATCCGTGATGACAGTTAAACCGCAGAGCAAACGCAACCTGTCTAATTCCTCATGTAACATTTGTTTGAATTTTTCCCAGTGATTACATTTAATACCACGCAAGCACATTTGCAGGAGCGTGTGAGCTGCCCGTCTGACACAGCCGCAGCTGCTACAGAGGCCAGGTGAAAATTTCAATTTCTCACCCGGCAGCAGCGGCCCAGCGGGGGCACAGATCCGACCCACACCAGCTGCTGGGAGAACGCTTTCACACTCCTCCAGCAGCTGAGAGCGATCCCGACCCGCAGCTCACATTAGACTCGTCACATGTCCTCCACACGCCGCAGGACCAGCCAATCTTTGACCACACGTGTGAGGGACGCCATAAAAGGTGCCAAATCACAACAAAGGATTTCAGAAGGTTTCAGATTTCAATCAGGGACGCTGAAGAAAATCAAAAGCATCAAAATATTATGTGCAGTAGTAAAGATGGAAAACTACATAGTACTTTTCAAAAGTGGCATAGATTGATGATACTAATCAGACTATTTAAAAAAAAGCTATATACGAGATCGTGAATTTTGTGATGATTAAATTAACTGCAATTAACAATTTAATTGTGTTTTCTTCATTTTACTTAAAGCGTAAAATGCATGTTTTTAAAAACTTGGAATCTTATATAATAGTTCAAAATTTAATAAAATAGACCCATACGATTTACTATAATGCTGTGAAAATGAATAACATTTATGTAATTATTTATAATATAATAAATATAATCATGAATTGTGTGCTGACAATTAATTATCATCCAGATAATTGCGAATAACGATTTAATTTTGTTTTGATCATGTTACTTACATTGTAAGCCTAATATGTTATATTTAACTTGGAATTGTATGTAATATACTAATAAAAATAATAATAAAATAGCCCTGCATGATTTACTTTAATGCTAGGAAAATTATTCATATTATAATTCATTTAAATTACATAATATACTTTATGTATAATATTATTTAATAAATACAACACAATTACAATATTGTGCTTAAATTTCCCTTATTTGGATGGCAAAATGTGATTTCAAAATTTCATCTTCACAATTATCTTAAATAGTTGGGATGGATCAAATAACCACAATCAGACGATTAATCAACTGCTTATCACCAAAATTTTACGCATTTCCAATTTCAATATTTTTGGATTTAAATGCTGCGTGTAAATAGAATTCGAGAATCTGTGGTGAACGACAGTCTAAAGGGGCTAAAAATAAGTTAAAAGGCTCTCATGTAGCACTTGTATCACAGACACCATTAGCTCACATTAACAGCACCTTCTAAAGAGCGATGCTTACGTCTTTGAACACCCTCGGCCACCTCTTAAAATGAGCAGCGAGAGCGCTGTCTGAACCATTACAGCCCGCCGTTTTAATCTCTGTCACCAGCTACAGCAGAGTTCAGGTGGGAACATCCTCCCTCTGATGAATCATTAATGATGAGGAAGTGCAGAATTTAACAAGAGCAGAAAGAAAGGGGATGTGCTTTCCATTAAGTGATTTAGGAAAGAAAGCAGTCTTAAACAAGACAACAATCAATCAGACATTATTAACTATAAATGGTTTATCAATTTTGTGTATGTGTATATATACAGTATCTCACAGAAGTGAGTACACCCCTCACCCCCTTTTTGTAAATATTTTATTATATCTTTTCATGTGACAACACTGAAGAAATGACACTTTGCTACAATGTAAAGTAGTGAGTGTACAGCTTGTATAACAGTGTAAATTTGCTGTCCCCTCAAAATAACTCAACACACAGCCATTAATGTCTAAACCGCTGGCCACAAAAGTGAGTACACCCCTAAGTGAAAATGTCCAAATTGGGCCCAAAGTGTCAATATTTTGTGAGGGGTGTACTCACTTCTGTGAGATACTGTATTTTTATATTTATTTATATTTGTAAATAATATTAAATTTTTATATTTAACAATTTTTGCTACTGGGATTTCATGCTAGCTGCAATTATATAAAAAATAATAATGGCTGAATAAAAATGCGATGTGGTACTTAATTTTATATAGCCATCAAAATCATTACAAATCTATTGTCAATATTTGATCAAACAGATATGGGACACAACAGCTGGAAACTCGCTCCAGACAGCACATTGTTCACTAAACTTTTATAAAAATAAAATCAAGAGAGTTGGGTTCTTCCCAAGAGAAATACTGGGTGAAGTATGAAAGAGTAGCTGTAAAAAAATAAAAAAAGGGAAAGTCAGCGCAAAAAAGAGAGAAAAATAGGAAGCTGTCGAGACTTAATCAGGGTTCTCTGGGCTGAAGAGTGGGTGAAGCCGAACACCTCATATCGCTCAAGAGAGAGAAAGGCTGGAGGGGCAGGAGGAAATAAAGAGAGAAATACACTGCCAGCAAGCAGCACTGCAGCGCACAGCAAACCTTTAGCTTTAGCAACAGGGAATCTGCTTCAGCGCTGCGACTCATGCGCTGATAGCCTGCGGACATATGTTCATGAACGGCTCAACACCATCCACCTGATACCTGATGAGATGCTGCTGTATACGCGTTTAGCCTGAGACTGAACTAGTGAGAAAACCGCTGGTGAACTTCTCAACATCTAAACAAACTCAGATTAAAGTGCTAAAGGTTTGCAAGTCCTGATAGACCAATATAACGCTCAGAGTGAGAAATCAGCCATTTAGAGATTAACGGCATTATACAAAGTGGCTGATTGAACAGGATTTCAGAATTCACATTTCATTTTTGACCGACTTTTAGGTAAATAAGCTTGTGTAAAACTAGGTTATTACAGTTAACGTTTTATTTATTTATTGGTGGGGGTTTTTTGTGCATTGAAGCATATTTTCATGACAATTACCCCACAGTATCTCATAAATTTCTGGCATATGTACATTGACTGACAGTCACCACTGATAAGCTACCACTAAATATTGTAGAAACTTAATTTGCTGTAAAGTTGCTTTGCAATGATTTGTATCGTGAAAAGCGCTATACAAATAAACTTGAATTGAAAAAAAAACTTGAATTAATGTTATGGAAAAATACATTAACATTTTTACTACTACTGTGCACAAAAACAATGGCATATTATTCAAATAAAATAAAAATTATAGATTGTTGTGCCGCCTTCAATTTATGCAAAAACACATTATATTTAAGTAAAATATAATAATCATGCAAAATATAACACTCATTAAATTTATGCAAAAATACATCATACTTAAAAATATAATATTCAGAAATGTTGCAATGTTTTACTGCAATAGTACAGTAATCATAATTTATCGAGAATAACCAATGAGAAAGGGGGAAAAAAATACAATAAATAAATATAATCATTCTATTAGATCTGCAAAAAAGCAATACTTTGGTGAAAGATTTAAAAGATGTTAAAATGCATCTTGTTACTACAGAGTGTCTTCTTAAGCTTTATTATGGTTCAATTTATCTGTGCCTTTCATATTGTAATATAGTTTGGGCGAGTACTTTTCCCACTACTCTTCAAAAAATGTTATCCTTCAGAAACATTTTGTTAGGATTGCAACCTGATCAGACGCATATACGTCATCTGCTTCTTTATTTCAGAAACTTCAAGTCCTTACTATTTATGATATTTAAAGGGGTGGTTCACTGTTTTTTTTTCTAGGCTTGATTGTGTTTATGGGGTGCAGTCTAACATGTTAATAATGCGTTTTTTAAAAAACAAAGCATTTTTCACATAATTTACCTTTATTCCACACCGCTCTGTCCCTTCTCTGAGAAACACACTGATCATTTCCTGCTTTTATGAAGCCCCTCCCTCAGAAATAGGTGATGTGCTCTGATTGGTTAGCTAGCCCAGTGTGTTGTGATTGGCTAAACCATCTCTAGCACGTGTCTAAGCGTCCCGCCCCTCACCTCAGCGGCATGTGCTCCGGTTGTATTGTAAACAACTGTGTCGTTAATATCGCTTATCAGTTTGAGCCCGATTGAGAAGCAGAGGATATTAGTGAAGAGGATCGTGCAGAACCTGTGCAAGCACGGCTTTTAAATGGTAGGCCTATATTTTTTATTTGTTGTTGTCTCATACTTTTAGATACGCTGTTATTTGTAAATGCTACTGCTCATGTTAGCTTTTAATATAGTTTTATCCTGATTAAAGCTTTACTACAGTACGGCAACTGCACGCGCGTCCATGTTTAACGCTTCTCATAGCTATGTGAAAATAAGTGTATAATATTTTAGTACTGCCTTGTAATTGTGCCTTCTCGTTTTTTTGTTCTTGATGCATTTTACGTTTGTTTTTGGAGTACATTATTTTGGGGTTTTTGATTTGTGTTGAAATTAATTTGATGCAGTCATTTACATATTTGTTATTGTAATGTAGCTCTCTCCTTAATTTCATAAGTTGTATCTGTTTTCTTTATTGTTTAGGTGGAAGCTTCTAATAAACCCTTTTGGCTTTTCTGCCTCTCCCTGCACAGTATATGGATTGTACTAAAACTAAAACTAAAGCTGATGTATTGCGGTAATGAAAATTTGGGTGGAATATGTATTTAATTGCCATGAAAATAATGTCACAGTGCACAAAAATCCTAATGGTCATAAAATAGCCTTCATTTTACGAATACAAAGTATATTTTGTCTTTATATGTTGACACTAGCTTTTGAAATCATCTTACCTCTCATTATATGACGAACTATTTTGACGGATCCTCCCCTGAGATTGAGGATCTGATGGACTCTCTGCTGTAACTGGAAGAGAAAACACATTTCAGCATGCAGAATTAATAACATTCAGCTTTAATAACACATGAAACGATCATAACATACCTGAGGAACACCAGCGTTACAGATCTCCACCATGATGTAACAGACGAGCTGAAGAACGAAGAGTCCGGCGTCCAACCGCCGCAGATAAAACTCATCGTCCATCGCGTCGTCGATAATCTCACCACGACGAACCATATCCTGAAACGTACAAATGGCCATTAGACACTTTATAATAAACTAGATGAGTAACGTTTAGGTTGGCTTGAGAAAGCCTAGCCTGAAAGTTTGAAGCAGTTATAAAAGCTTGAAGTTTGAAAGTTTAGATAGATTAGACAGATGTTGCTAGCATGATTTAAAATGTTGCAACCATGTTTTAACCTTATGATAGCATGGTGTTAAAATGATTAGTATGTTTCTAAGATGATTAACACGTTGCTAGCATGTTTCTAGCACAATTACCATGTTGTTAGCATGATTAGCATGTTGTCTGCATTTTTTTGAAGATGATTAACATGTTGCAAGCATGTTTCTAGCATGATCAGCATATTTTAGCATGATTTGCATGTTGTTAGCATGATTAACACGTCGTTAGAATTTTTCTATCATTACCATGTTGCTAACATGTTTCTAACACAATTACAGTGCTGTTAGCATGATTAGTATGTTAACATGTTACTATGATTAGCATGTTGTCTGCATTTTTTTGAAGATGATTAACATGTTGCAAGCATGTTTCTATCATTACCATGTTGCTAGCTTGTTTTAACATGATTAACATGTTGCTAGCATGTTTCTAACACAATTACAGTGCTGTTAGCATGATTAGTATGTTAGCATGTTTCTATCATGATTAGCATGTTGCTAATGTGTTTCTAACATGATTAACATTTTGCTAGCATGTTTCTAACTTGACTTAACATGTTTTAACATGTTACTAGCATGTTTTAGCACATTGCTAACATGTTTTATCATGCTGCTAACATAATATTGCACGTTGTTACCATGAATTAGCATGTTGTCCTAGAACAGTCATTAAGATTTGCTGGTGACATCTTAAACACTCTATGGCCTCGTTTCACAGACAGGATTTATACTAAACCAGGATTAGGCTATAGTTCAATTAGGACATGCCTTAGAAGAAACATTACTGGTGTGCATTTTGAGACAAAATAAAGGCACTGATATATTTTAAAATCAGTCAGAGCAAGTTTCTTTCAGTTGAAACAGCTCAGATTTAGATTTTAGTCTGGGATTAGGCTTAAGCCTTTTCTGTGAAACCAGGGGTATAAGTCATATTGTACAAAAGTTTTGACCCCCTCAATGAAAGTCTATGGGACTTTTCGTAGTTTGCTCATCTGTTTAACAAAAAGTGTAAGTCTGATCAGTTAAAGATATAGCAATCCGCGACCAACCAGTCTGAAGGTCTGACCAGAGTTTAGGGGTTGTAGCTTGAAAGCTCTAGGAGGAGATACAGTCCAAATTTAGTCACAGAAGAAGAAGCAGCAGCTTAAATAGCAGATCAGTTGGTTGCTTTCTCAAGCCAACCTAATAAATGCATATTGATTAGCAAGAAAATCCCATGCAGTGATTGATGCGCAGTGCCATGCATGTTAAAAAGGCTCTGGATGGTATCTCAGTTCACTTCAGAAAGGTGATTTTTTTTCACACATCTCAGCTTTTCAGCACCTGCAGCCGAATCTAAAGGGACAAAGACGTTTGGCATTTGTTGAGTGCCATAATTGCGGCAATTGACACTGGCCTCTCCAGGGGATTTCAATCTTTTCGAGCATAAAACGCTGGCAAGCACACATGTGTGTGAGTGTGCACGAGCAGAAAGGCTTGTGAACACAAAGGGAACGTCACAGGAACAGCAGGCTGGCGAGAGCCGGCCGCCACGGGCTGCTGAAGACACACAGAACGCAGCTCTGATCGCGGCGAGAGGCTTAAAGAACCGCGCTTAGATTGTGCCAAAACCATTCAGCCATTCTCCAAAAAATCAGGACAGGTCAAAGCACATTCAATGCAACTCAGGACAGCACGTGATTTTGTCCTTTAAAAATGGTTTGCATTGGGAAAAGTGGGATTTTGAGCAGGACGTGCAGGATGAAGGTCAAGTTCACCTTGCAGAGCATCTCAATAGCGGCCGTTCCTTTTCAAATCAATTTGTGTTTATTGCTGCAAGCATTCATTCCTGTAGCTCAAAAAGTAGAGCATGCAGCTAGTAACAATATGGTAATGGGTTGGATTCCCAGGGATGCATGAGCTTATGAAATATAAAGAAATTAAGGTTTTTGAAGAAAACATTTCAAGTTTTTTTCTCCAAATAATGGACTTCAATGGTGGCCAACGGGCTGAAGGTCCAAATCACAGTTTCAGTGCAGCTTTAAAGGGCTCCACACGATCCCAGCCAAGGAAGGGTCTTATCTAGTGAAATTTTTTTTTAATTGATATCCTTTTTAACCACAAATGCACGTCTTGCACTAGCTCCGCGATGCGCGTCTGCAAATTCACGCATTACGTAATCACATTGGAAAGGTCTATCTATAAAAGTATATCAATTTTTATTTTAAGAAAATGAGCAATAGTTTCGTTAGATAAGACCCTTATTCCTCGGCTGGGATCGTGTAGAGCTCTATGAAGCTGCACTGAAAATGCAATTTGGACCTTCAACCCGCTGATCCCCACTGAAGTCCATATTATGGAGAAAAATCCTGGAATGTTTTCCTCAAAAACCTTCATTTCTTTGCGACTGAAGACAGAAAGACATGAACATCTTGGATGACACTGGGTGAGTAAATGATCAGGACATTTTTATTCTGGAAGTGAACTAATCCTTTAACAAAGTAAATATTTTTCATGCTGATTTAAGGAGTTTTATTTCCTACTTGAGGCTGATTTAAAGAGTGTGCAAAAAATATGTTTATCATCATCACGCTGTCAGAACAGGGTGTTTCGATCTTTCGCAGGCATTATTCGAGTCTCGTTACAGAGGTACAGCCTTCGGCAAGTCAATTACACAAGTGCAAATAACAAGCGGCTTCACCTCCGAGAAACAGAGCGATTTTTAGTCACTTCCTGTTGGAGAACTGCAGGCTGGCACAGGTGTTAATATGACAGGCAGAACAAAGCAGCACCGGGACCTGTGATTGAGTCTCATGGGACATGCAGAGACTAAATTAATCAGAGCACACCCTGCCAGCACTTCCTCCGCGGATCCTTTCGAGATTTCCCAAAGAGCCGTGCGTGTGTGCGTGCATGTGGGGCGCTGCGGCAAAACGAGAAGAGCAGAAGACGAGCAGAACGAGCGTGGAGGGGGTTTATGGGGGTCTGTGTTTAGGAAATGCAATTCGGAGAGAATTTGTAGCTGTCATTAGGCAGTAAAAGGAGGCGAGACGGGTTCACATGAGTGCGGCGCTGACAGCACTCCGAGGCGTTTTTAAACAAGGGCTCTGCTATGGGTGATATACTTTTATAGCGCTCAGAGAAAGCCGCGAACGCTGTTCAATCTGGAGGGAGTGCTGGTGCGCTCAGTCGACGGGCACGAAACAAGAGCAGACATTTCCACAGTCATATTCCTGTCACTGCTTCTGAGAGACAATTTATAGGCCTCTGAAGAAGACGCAGAGCAGAAAGTCAGATAAGGTGGATGGGACACACACACACACACACACACACACACACACACACACAGAGACGACGGTTTTAAACCGACACACCTGCACAGAGACCTGAAACCAGAGCTGAGTGGCATATTGAACATTCACAAAATGCTCAGTGGCTTTTAAAATTTAAGCAACAAGCAAATTTGTGTGATGATGCAAACACATTTTTAAAGTATAAAAAAGATGATAATACTTAAAACAAATAAATAATTGTATATGGTTGCCAGGTAGGGAAGATTAAGTAAACCACTTGGCTTGTGGAGGCTTGTTACTAATGCAATATAATGCAAATGCCTAATTAAACAAACATTTTCAGGATAAATAACCGGCAGGTAAATATCACAGAGAATTATGCTATAATTGAGAGAAGCAGAAATCGTGAACATGATTAAAGTACGATTTATCAGGCTGATTTGCATCGGGCCTGATCAACCTCGTGATATAATCTTAGATTATTACTGCATTTTAATGATCTTGTTTAGGGTAGAAAAAAATCAAGATACACTACCGGTCAAAAAAAAAAAAAGTTTTTTTGAACTTTTTATTCATCTGTGAATCCTGAAAAAAAAAATGCATCACGGTGTCCACAAAAAAACAGAAATAAAAATGTTTCTTGAGCAGCAAATCAGCATATTAGAATGATTTCTGAAGATCATGTGACACTGAAAACTGGAGCAATGATGCTGAAAATACAGCTTCGATCAGAGAAATAAATTACATTTTTCAATATATTCACATAGAAAACATTTACTTTAAATTGTAATGATATTTCAAAATTTTACTGTATTTTCATCAAATAAATGCAGTCTTGGTGAGCAGAAGAGACTTTTCAAAAACATTGTACCAACCTCAAACTTTTGAAAAGCATTTTATATCCAATATGCAGAGGTGTAAAGAGTACCTAAAAACCATACTTCAGTAAAAGTACAGATACCTTACAGTGAAAATTACTCCACTACACGTTACAAGTCACCAATTCCAAAACAATTTGAGTAAAAGCCTTAGAGTATATGATTTTAACAGTACTTAAGTATTTTACTTATACTAAATATAGGCTCAAAGATGCACTAGTCAAAGAGACATGCCAGTGATAAATGGTTACGTTGTGGAGAAGATGCGGAGAACAGGCAGAGACAAGGATCTATGTGCTGGTATTTCATGGAAAAACTAGAACAAACAATAAGGCAAAAACCAAAGGGAAGAATGAGAGTATAGTTCCTAGCCATATCAGCCTAGAAAACTTTTCATTTTCCGTCGGTCTTAGTACACGATGTAACTACAGAAGAGTCAAGTTTTAAATAGGAAAAATATCAAAACTCTTTGGTCATTTTTGAGCGAGATACTAACGGTCTAATCAGATTCAATGATCTATGCTAAGCTAAAAGTGCTACCGCCAGACCCGGAGATCGGCTGAATGGATTCGAAAATGGTAAAACTCAACTGTTTAACTCTAGGGGAGTTGGAAAAGGAGCCTATTTTCAAAAATAGTGGAGTATTCCTTTAACAAGATAAGACACACCTGGGGAGACTAATCAAGGGGAACCAATGAACAAACGGACTACAAACTGACTACAAGCCCCACGGGAGACAAGAAGTAACAAAAGTCCAGGGCAAGGCACAGAGAGCATGAAACAAAAACAAGAAAGAGTTGATTGTGAGGAGAGCAATCACGTTTATTTTCTAAAACCAAAATAAAACTGAACACCTCATAATAACAAAACAAACAAACCATATCTTTCAAAAAGGTCTCTTCAGTATAATGGATAACTAAAATAATGTTAAGTAAAATTAAAAAAGACGAAGCCTTCTTGCACTGGATGTGCTGGTTTGGGCCTCATTGCCGGCTGCAGTCATGTCCTCATCTCATATATAAAACACCTCTGATTCACAAATACTTGCTAAGGAACTCGCATTCACATAAAGTAGCCTTGTTGACAAGTTTGGGTGAGTAAGGGCAAAACGCAGTACTTGCAGTGACCTGTAGCAGACAGTATCACGTCTTTTGTAGCAGAAATAAACTGCCAGCTAGGTCCATGCAAAATGTAATTTGTAACTGCAACACTCATTTCAAATGTAGTGGAGTAAAGAGTACAGATACTCATTCAGAAATGTAGTGGAGTAAAGAGTAAAAGTTGCTAATATCTTTGATACTCAGTACGACTACAAAGTACCCGAAAAGATACTCAAGTACAGTAACTAA